GCTTCCTTTACCTTACTCCAGACCTAAGGGACAGACTTTTCCCTGAGATGTTTGGCGGGGGTAGGGAGGGTGTCTGACCTTTGGGCCTTTGCCTTTGCTGTGCCTTGTGCCTACTCCAGCCCTGGGCCCAGCTATTTGCTCAGGGAGCTCAGTAAACACTGGTGAACTGAATTTCTCTGTAAATAAACAGAAAGTGCCAAATAGGTGGCCTGGCATTTAGAGATGCACACATACACCCCAATTTTGTAAGTAAACAAATTACCCAAAATAGAAAAAGAGAAAAGATCCATCCAATATTTTCTTGTGGCTCTGTTCCCCAAACTGTTCTCCTTCCACTTCTTCCAAACAGCCCCGCTCTCTCTATTCTAAGGCTTCCAGCTACAATTAAGCCTGTCCTTTTTTGTGTCTGGATGATCCTACCCAAGGCATCAAGAAGCCTTGTAGGATCCCCACAGCGGCCTCATGCCTCTGAAGCTTCTTCCCTTGTCACGTGGCCTAAGTGCGTGCAATTCCTTGCTCCGTGGCTAGAAGCTCTGTGGGCCAGGGACTGGTGCCTCATTCGCTACTCGTGCCCAGTGCCCATCACAGGACCTGGATGGATGCTGTGTAAATATCTGTTACATTACGAAAGATGGAAGGCCTTGGAACACTAGGGTATTTTCTCTTTCTCTGAAGCTGCCTGGAAAATTTGCCGAGTTGGTGCCATCTCTCCGGTTATTCCAAATTGCCCCGAGGTACAGGCTCTCGCCTTGCTGTTTTTCTAGTCATTCTCGCTCTTCTTTTTCCCCTCTAGTTCCTACAAAAGTAGAGAGGCTTGACAGTTTCACACTAAAGCTGAAAACTTTCCCCAAGATTCCTCTTGCATATTTCCTGGAATCTGCTTTCCACCTCTCTTGGCTTATAAAACCAGTGACTCACTGAGCCAGGAGTTTCTTCTCTGCAGGGATTTCTTGCAGGAAACATGAGAGGAGCTGGTGATATCGTCTTTCACCTCCCCTCCCCTCAGTCCTGGCTCTTCTTATCTAAAAGGCCAGATTTGTTGTACCATGTGAAGCAGTAGAATTGCTGTCCCCCCCCCCCCCCCCACCCCCCCCCCACACTGGCAGCCTTTATTAAATCAGGGCCCTGCACCGCAGGGCTCACCCCAGGGTGCCTGCAGAGCTTCCAACATCCCTAACCCCGAGACTGCCCAAGAACATAAAATCACCTCTGCTTCCTTGCTAAGCTTCCACATAAGGACAACCTCTGGCTCTCCTTGGAAATCTAGAAAACTATAGGAATACAGAGAATGCGCTTTCAAGATGCCAAGCCTTCTTATCCTTCCTAGCCACCAGAAGTCACACATGCACATACTTTCTAATTTGCAATAATTTTAAAAATTTTCAAATGCAAATTATAGAGTCTGCCGCCTGCACAAAAGCAGCCTTCACATCAGCTGTCCCTGGCAGGAGGTTTTCACACTGAACGGGAGGGGAATTGTGCAGATGTCACCCACGCAGTCAGATGACCTGAGGGTGTGAGCATGTGTGCGTGTGTCCATGTCAACTTTGAGAGAATCAGGGCAGTTGGGTTGGGGGGTGGGATTTTAGGGACTGTTGATGCAACTGGATGAATGGGGTAACATCTGGATGTAGGTGTGCAATGTCAGTGTGTGTATATCTGTGTTAAGTCCCTGAGGGTTGGCAAAGGCACTGCTTAAATAAAAAAACGCTTTGCAAAGGAGTCCTTGAAACAAAGCAAAAGGATGGCTTGTAAGTAGTGAATTAATCAGACTTAAAGAAGTTTAAAAAACAATTCTGGAGGAGTCCAATAATTTATCATCACCGCCACCACCACCATCATCATTATCAACACACAGTAGCAACAGCTATCATTTTTGAATACTTGCTATGTGCCACACACACACACACACACACACACACACACAAGCACACACACACGTAGCACAGCAACCCCAGTCAAGATGGGCTTATCTTCTGTGGATCCTCTATTTTGTACTGGTCTTGGAACCTTTTACCCAGGACCTATTTTATGGGATTCAGTGTAAATTAAAAATGCAGAACAGCTTGTTCAAAATTATGATGAATTTCAAGACAGCATCAGCACAATGTGGGACCCTTTTGAGCAGAAAGCTCTGTGTGATGACACCGCTCTCAGGCCATGAAGCAGAGTGCCCTGTCCGAATGACTAGGTGCATTGCTCAAACTTTTGTCCATTGGGAAGACTTCCCCCCACAGCAGGGCTATAGTGCAAGAGCAATTCATTTTTAGTTTGTCTCTTTCACACCAAGACAAAGCATTCTTTTTTTTTAAGATTTTATTTATTTATTCATGTGACTCACACACACACACAGAGAGAGAGAGAGAGAGGCAGAGGGAGAAGCAGGCCCTATGCAGGGAGCCCGACATGGGACTTGATCCCGGGTCTCCAGGATCACGCCCTGGGCCGAAGGTGGTGCTAAACCACTGAGCCACCGGGGCTGCCCAAGACAAAGCATTCTTAAACCAAGCCTGGGCTTTCTGCCTTTTCATTAGCCATTTGCTGTGTAGCCCACACAATGTATGGGTGGGAGCTGAGTGAGAGCCATGAGTGCAACAGCATTAGGTGACATTGGTGCTTGAGCCACCTGTTAATGTAGATTACTTGTACTATTTGGGCCCGGCCAGGCTTGATCTGGGATAAATAAGAAAGCAAATGGCTGGATAAAGATATAGCAAGCTACCAGTGACTGCTGGAAGGTTGCAGAGGCTGTGTTAATAACAGAAAAGTAAACTTCAAGAGAATGGCTGTTAACCAAGCTAAGGAGGAAAATCGATATGGATAAAAGAAGTCATAATAATAATAACGTATGTGTATATATCTAGCAACAGAGCCTCCAAATAGCTGAAGAAAAAACTGGCAAGAAAGGGAAAAACTTGACTAATCTATAATAATCACTGAAGATTTTTACACCCCACTCTGATTGGTGGATTAAATAGCTGGACAGAATAATGAGAAAATGCATAGAAGAAAATGCAAGAAGAACCTTGTCAACTATCCTGCTCGTAGCTGACATTTACAGAAACTAAACTCCACAGTCGTGGCACCCCACATTATTTTCCGGTAGACATGGCACCTTCACCAAGGCAGACCATATGTTCACCCATCAAACAATATTAATAAAATGTAAAGAACATACAGACATGTTCTATGACCACCATGGAAGGAAATTAAAATAAATAACAATGAGAGATATACAGAAAAATCTCTGATATTTGGAAATTACACAACACACATCTAAAGAATTCAAAGGTCAAAGAGATATTTGAAGGGAAATTAGAAAACATCTTGAGTGGAATGATAAAACTAAATATATCAAAGCTTGTGCGATATACGGAAGCAGTAGTTAAGGGGAAGCTTATAGCTTAAAACTAGAGAAGAAAAGTGTAAAGTGTGGATCAGTTCAACATTCTCATGGCTTTGCGTGAGCGCGGTGCAGTGTGAACCTAGCAGGGCAGAGGATCCCTTCTCCTGATCTCACTGCCTACAGGCTCTCCCATCGCCTCCATATGTAGTCCTGAATACCGTTCCAACACACAACTCTGACTGTGTCACTCTCGGCTCTAAACCCTCTCATGGCTCCCCATTGCTTCAGGATGAAATTCAGAATGGACCTGGCAAGCTGGCCTTTTAGGACCTTTATTTACTTCTGAGGTCATGCCCTGTTTGCCACGGTGCCATCCAGCTTTCTGAACTGTCTCTTGAAATCATGAGTTTTTCTCTCTTTTCTGCCCTATAACTAGGGTTCCAGATAAAATGAAGGATTCCCAGTTAACCTGGATTTCAGATATGTATGGATAACTCTTTAAGTATGCCCCCAAACTGCATGGGGCATATGTATATACAAAGAAAGGTATTCATTATTTATCTAAAGTTCAAGTTTAACTGGGGGTTAAATTTTTTTTAAGATTTTATTTATTTATTCATGAGAGACACAGAGAGGGAGGCAGAGACACAGGTGGAGCAGGGAGCCCGATGTGGGACCCTGAGCTAAAGGCAGACGCCCAACCACTGAGCCACCCAGGCATCCCGGGGTTTAAATTTTTATTTTTTATTTGTCAAATCTGGCAGCCTCACCCAGAACTAGCACATAGTCTTTCTTTCTTTCTTTCTTTCTTTCTTTCTTTCTTTCTTTCTTTCTTTCTTTCTTTCTTTCTTGATTATATTTATTTATTCATGAGATACACAGAGAGAGGCAGAAACATAGGCAGAAGGAGAAGCAGGCTCCCTGCAGGGAGCACAATGCGGGACTCGATTCCAGACCGGGATCACACCCAGAGCCAAGGGCAGACAGACGTTCAGTCACTGAGCCATCCAGGTGTCCCTAGCACATAGTGTTTCATGTGCCCCTTCTCTGCTTCTGTGTGTGGCTTATTTTCCTTAGAAAGGCTCAGCTTAGAAATAACCTCCTCCAGGAAGACCGTTCTCTCCAGAAGACCGTTCTCTCCACTTGTCTTTTTCAGAGTCTGTCTCATTCACTGCTAACTCCTCAGCCCTTGCAACAGTGTCTAGCACTTGGAGGACACTCAATAAATACTTGCTGAAGGAATAAGTGCTGACCTAGGTCTCAGCTATTTCTTTTTTTTAAGGATTTTATTTATTTATTTATAGAGACAGACAGAGAGAGAGGCAGAGGCACAGGCAGAGGGAGAAGCAGGGTCCATGCAGGGAGCCTGACGTGGGACTCGATCCAGGGTCCCCAGGATCAAACCCCAGGCTGCAGGCGGCGCTAAACCACTGCACCACCGGGGCTGTCCCAGGAGCTGGTCTATTTCTTGCCGTCCAGGCCTGTGGCTTCCAGTTTAGGGTAGGGGTCAGGGGGGAGGCAGGGGATGCGTCAGTTACCTATCACTGCAAACAAACCACCCCAAAATTAGTGACTTAAGAGAGAAGCCATCATGTAATTTGCTTAAAAATCTGCAAAATAGGCAGAGCTCAGCAGGAACAGCTCACCTCTGCCCCATGTGGCGTCAGCTGGGGCTAGAAGATTCACTTCCAAGATGACTCACTCACATGGCTTTCAAATTGCTGCTGTATGTTGCTTCTCTCCACATATGCCTCTCCACAGGGTGGCTTGGACTTCCTTATAGCATGGTGGCTGTGTTCCAAGAACAAGTATCTCAAATGACACAAGAAATAGCAGATTCTAGACTTTTAAGGCCAGGGTCTGGAAACTGATATAATTTCACACTCTATTCTATTGCTTAAGCAAGGGGCAGTTCATATTTAAGGAGAGAGGACAGAGACCCTTTCTCTTAATGGGACCAGTGCTAGAAAATTTTGTGATCATTTTTAAAAGTCACCAGAGGGGAGAATACTCACTACAAAGAAGTTGACAGAACCCATCATCTGTACCCAGTCCAGATAGATGATGGTCCATAGGATGGACCTCTCTCCACAGGTCAGCAGGAGCCACAGGGCCAGTATGTTCAAGGCAGCCTGGGGGTGTGATAGTGCCGGAGACAAAGAGAGAGAGAAAGAGACAGAGAGGGAGGAGGGGGGATGAGAAATATGGAAAGAATCCTCCCTTGAAGGAATGAGGACTGAGCAACTCAACTCATGTAGGCACTTAACAATCCATCTGAAACGAGGCTGCATAATTGGCACCTATTATGGGTCCCTTGGGATGTTGTAAACAGAAATTGTGAAACCGTATTTTTTTTTTTGGCTTTGAACAATTTTAAATTTATAGAAAGTTGACACAATAGCAAAATGAACAACCCACACACCTGTCACCTCGTTTCACCAATGGTTAACATTTTGCCACATCTGCTCTTTGAAAGCAAGGTACAAACAAGACATTTTCCTCCTAAATCCTTCAGCCTGCATCTCCCTCCCCATCCCTCCACACCAATGGTTCTCTGGCCAGGGGGTGATTTTGTCCCTCAGGGGATATTTGACAATGTCAACTGGAGACACTTTTATTTTATTTTTTTTTAAAGATTTTATTTATTTATTCATGAGAGACACACACAGAGAGAGAGGCAGAGACACAGGTAGAGGGAAAAGCAGGCTCCATGCAGGGAGCCCGATGTGGGACTCGATCCCAGGTCTCCAGGATCACACCTGGGGCCAAAGGCAGGCGCCAAACCACTGAGCCACCCAGGGATCCCCTGGAGACACTTTTAAATTATATTCCTTACTGAGAAAAAAGCTCACATCACACAAAATTCACCATTTTAACCATTTTCAAATGTATACTCCAGTGTGCTTTCGTATATTCATGATACGATGCAACTCTTAATACTATCTAATTCTAAAACATTTTTGCAGACATTTCTGCTTGTTGCAACTGATAGGGTGCAGTGCTCCTGACACCTAGTGGGCAGGGACCAGAAGTGCTGCTGAACTCTCAGGAGAATCATCTGGCTCCAAGTGTCACCGTTCAACATAATTACACCGCTATTAGCACATCTGAGCAAAGCAAAAGTAATTGTGCTGTCGACCCCAGTGGTCTTAAGAATGTCTTTTTAAAAATTCACTTTAGAGATAGAGGGAGAGAGATAAGCAGAGTCAGTCTGAGCAAAGAGCCGGGCTTGGGGCTCGATCCCATAACCCCGAGATCATGACCAAAGCTGAAACCAAGAGTCAGACACTTAACTAACTAAGCCACCCAGGCACCCCTAAAGGATGCATATTTAGCATATCTATTTTAGTTCAGGAGCCAAGGTTCACACATTGCCTTTTGCTGTTAGGTCTTTTTGGTCTCTATTAATAAAAAAGAATATTTTCTACCCCACACTCAGTCTTCTTGTTTGATTATTTTTCGTAAGAGTTCAGGCTGGTTTTATAGCATAATATTCTGGAATTATCAGATTCATATTTAACATTTTTGGCAAGAACACGATATTGATGATTATTGCGTCACATAAGGAAGTCTATAAATTGAGGTTGCTGTGCTATTTGTGGTGTTGAAATAGGATGGTAATGCAGTTGAGAAGACAGAAGGTGCTGTCTTCCACTTCCATCCACTCAAGTGTGGCACCCAGGCAGCCACTCTGGCTGGCTTACCCTTTCTGAAAAGTAGAGATAGCCTGGGGAGGATTTTCTCACTCTCGGGGAGTCCTCAGGCCCTCCTCCCTTCTCTTTGCTGTCCCACCTTCAAGGGTCAAGGGGAAGGCCCCAAGAGCTGGGGGTTTCCTCTGCTAACTTCAGGGAGTAGGCCCAGCCCAGGGTGGCTGGGAGGACTTGGAAGGACACCTGGGACTCCTTCAGCAGTTCTTTAGTTCCCAGAAAGAAGAAACCGGATGGTAGAAGTGTGTGGGCCAGGATGGGGGTAAGGCTGGGAACTGCAGGCCTGTTAGCATTCTTATGGTGAACAACTATGCAAAAGCTGTATAGAAGTCACTCCAATCCTCCTCATTTTGGGAAACACCTCCCACCTTTAGGAACCCTCCCTAAACACAACCTTCTCCAGAAACCTACCAGGACTGCAGAAAGAAGGAAATTACTCCTGTTCTCAAAGCACTTCAGGCTAGAACCACCACAAGGGCAGAAGTTCTATTCCTTTTTAAAAAATATTTTATTTATTCATGAGACAGAGAGAGAGAGAGAGAGAGAGAGAAAGAAAGAAAGAGAGAGAGAGGCAGAGGGAGAAGCAGGCTCCATGCAGGGAGCCTGACGTGGGATTCCATCCTGGGTCTCCAGGATCACACCCTGGGCCAAAGGCAGGCGCTAAACCACTGAGCCACCCAGGGACCCCCAGAAGTTCTATTCCATTACACTGGCAGTGGAAACATAACAATCCATATACAGTTTTTTAAGCCAACAGTAAAAACAGCATATTACAAAAAAAAATCAGTTTTGGGGTGCCTGAATGGCTCAGTTGGTCAACCATCTGCTTTCAGCTCAGTTTATGACCCCAGGGGTCCTGGAATTGAGCCCCACATGGGCTCCCTGCTCAGCAGGGGAGTCTGCTTTCCCCCCTCCCTCTGCTGCTCCTCCTGCTTGTGCTATCTTGCTCTGTCAAATTAAAAAAAAAAAAGAATCTTTAAAAAATTTTCAGTTTTCTGGGGGCACGTGCCTGGCTGAGTTGGTGGAGTGTGCAACTCTTGATCTCAGGGTTGCAAGTTCAAGCTCCAGGTTGGATGCAGAGAATACCTAAAAGTAACATCTTTTATGTTTTTTAAAGATCGCTTATTTATTTATTCATGAGAGACATAGAGAGAGAGAGGCAGAGACACAGGCAGAGAGAGAAGCAGGCTCCATACAGGGATCCCAGGACTCTGGGATCACGCCCTAGGCTAAAGGCAGACCCTCAACCACTGAGCCACCCAGATGTCCCAAAAGTAACATCTTTTTTAAAAAACTCAGCTTTCTGGCTTTTCTTGGAAAATCTGAAGCTCTGACATTGGGCTTACACCTCTGCCTGGCGTCAACGACTTCCCCTTTCAGACTAAGCATGCACGCCACACTTACCTAATCCCAAGTCCAAGTGTGGCTTTTAGTCTTGCTCCTTCACCTTGCCCATGCTGTTTTTTTCTTTACTTGTGTCTTTGAAAAAAGATGACAAGAAAAGAGAGGTCTAGGGTTGTGTGCTTCCAGGTAAATGGGAAAAGGCATATTTCATTGTAGAATTGAAGAACATTCCTGTGCACCTGTAATGTGATTAAAGTGAGTCTGTGTTTAAAAACAATATTGACCTCAAGCGTCATTGTGTCTTAGTATTGTGGCTGGGGGGTTACTGGAATGTCAGACTCCTCTCAGCTCCATCACTTACAAGCCCTGTGACCTCAGACAAGACTGTGATAATACTCAGATGCCTCTGCAGTTTAAACCTCTCTCAACTTCTTGAATACTACCCAGCTGCTATCCTATCAACAAAACACCCGAGTACATGACTTTCAAGGCCGTGCTGAAGAAGAACAAGATTCCACACCAAGTCATTTTTTTCTAGGCTGGGAATTTGCCCAAAGTCAACACCTGCCCAAACCAAAAGCCAGACCTGGTTCCCACGGGTAGATTTTTGACGCTGACTTTGGCAGAAGGTGCTGGCTCATTTGACCCACTCCACCCCCAGGGCCACTCCAGGGGCCAGGCCACTGGAGGTCACAACTTCTGTGAGAATCACAAGCTGAAGGCTGAAAGGGTTCAGCTAAAGTCCAAAGAGGACCATCAGGTCTCACCCAGATCTGAGAAACTCCCTGAGTACTCCAGCCACAGCCTTCAGCCTCAGATGCCAGTAGGATTTCCAGAACCAGGACCAGGGATTTGTGGGACAAAGGTGACTTTCCCCAGTAGGCTGTGAGTGAGGAAGCAAGAGGCCTCAGAGACTCTGAAGAGCCCATATGGGTCCACAAGGGAAACAGACTTAGAATAAAGCATTGACCACAGAAAAACATGGACAAGAGTTATTAGGGCATCTGGGTCGCTCAGTTGGTTAAGCATCTGCCTTCGACTCAGGTCATGATCTCAAGGTCCTGGGATCAAGCCCCATGTTGGGCTCCCTGCTCAGCAGGGAGTATGCTTCTACCCATCTCTCAAATGAACAAATAAAATCTCTCTCTCTAAAAAAAAAAAAGAGTTATAGGGACATCTGGGTGGCTCAGTGGTTGAGCATCTGCCTTCAGCTCAGGGCATGATCCTGGAGTCCCAAGATCGAGTTCCGCATTGGGCTCCCCACAGGGAGCCTGCTTCTTCCTCTGCCTGTGTGAATAAATAAAGATTTCATGAGAGACACAGAGAGAGGGAGGCAGAGACATAGGCAGAGAGAGAAGCAGGCTCCATGCAAGGAGCCCGACATGGGACTCGATCCCAGGACTCCAGGATCACGCCCTGGGCTGAAGGCAGGCACTAAACCGCTGAGCCACCCAGGGATCCCCCTAAATAAATAAAATATTTAAAAAAGAGTTATAACGGAACTGAAGATGTCAGTCGGGAACGTGTTTAGCTGCAAGGATGAGAAAACCAGAGTACCTTAAACAAATATTTGTTTCATGTTTGTCTCATGCAATACAATACCAGGAGGTGGGCAGACCAGGGTTGGTGCAAATGGTTTACCCTGCCAGGAGGGCACAGTCTGCTTTTCTTGCCTACCATCCTTGGCAGCTCAATCCATTCTCAAAATTGTTGCCTCATGGTCATGAGTCGGCTGCTATACCTCTAAGCATCACATTCACCTTCTGGGCAGGAAATTGAAAGGAAAATAAGAAAAGGAGGCACTTGTGCCAGGGAAGCAAAGCTTTCCCAGAAGTCTACATAAGTCACCTGGGTCACACTGTGTCCCAGGGACACCACGAACTCTTAAGGAATCTGAGGAAGTTAGTCTGTTTAACCAGGCACTACCCCAAACAAAACTGGGCCTCTTTGGGGAGGAAAGGGGAATAGGTATTAGAAAGGCAACCAGCTGGGTCTATCACACCAAGTTCTTATACAACCAAAGGCCTGGTACCTCATCTGAAACCAGTCTTCAGGTTTTTCAGTTATATGAGCCAATATATTATTTTTGTAATATAAGACAATATGAATCAAGCTTTCTGTTCATTACAACTGATATCACATTGGTACTGTCTGTCTTTTTCCCCTTTTACATTTTTATTCTGTATCATAAACAACAACAAATGCTTTTCTTCACATTCATAATTTTAGGAAATTGCTGCCTTTTCCGGTGGAGAAAAACAATCTACAGACAGAAAAGAGGAAGTACAATACTGTGAAGCTCTGCAAATCCCAGAAGTCAATGTCTTGAAGATAACTTCAGGAGACAGGAAGAAAACAAGTGTCACAAGAGACAAGACAAGAACATATAAGGAGGGACGCCTGGCTGGCTCAGTGATTGAGCATCTGCCTTTGGCTCGGGGCATGGTCCCAGGGTCCCGAGATTGGGTCCTGCGTTGGGCTCCCTGCATGGAGCCTGCTTCTCCCTCTGCCTGTGTCACTGCCTCTCTCTCTTTCTATGTCTCTCATGAATAGATAAACAAAATCTTACAAAAAAGAACACATAAGGAGAGCAAGCTGACCATTTAAATGTATTTATTAATTCGATCTATTAATTAATTTATTTATTCTATCAAGATAGAAAACATTTCCAGCACTGCAGACATCATTTTTATTCCTCTCCTTTGGTCAGTATTGTTCCCAGAATTAACCACTATTCAGAGTTCTGTCACTATTTGCTATAGTTTTGTTGTTGTTTTTAAGATTTATTTGAAAGAGAGAGAGAGCATGTGTGCGTGTAGTCATGGAAGGCCAAAGGGAGACAATCTCAAGCAGACTCCCCACTGAGCAAGGAGCCCCACATGGGGCTCCATCTCACAATCCTGAGATCTTGACCAAGAGTCAGAGGTTCAGCAGACTGAGCTGCCCAGGTACCCCTCCATTTGTTACGTTTTTACCTAGTTTGGGACACCATATAAATGGAATCACACCACATTCACTCCTCTATGGCTGGCAAGTTTTATCCAACATTGTGTCTGGGAGATTTATCCCTGTTGTGGACAGCAGTTCATTCTGTTTTTATTGCTGTGTAGTCTCCCACTGTATGAATATACCATTTTTTATTCATTTTCCTGCTGTTGGATATTTGGATTGATTCCAGGTTTTAGCTATTATGAGTAAAGTTGCCAAGAACATTCTAGACATGCACTTTGGTAGAAATCACAGTTCTCCTGGATTTGTACTGAAGAGTGAACTTGCTGGATCATATGTCAGGTTAGGAGTTACAGTGAATAGTACGGTTTTCCAACTTACCTCTTTCCAGTTCTAGTTATTTCATATCCTCACCAACACTTGGTTTTGTCAATCTTTTTAATTTTAGCCAGTGTAATTAGTGTACAATAGTATCTCACTATGGTTTTATTTTTAAAGTTTCTTTATTTTTGAATTTTATTTATTTATTTACTTACTTATTTAGAGAGGGCACACATGAGCAGAGGGAGGGGCAGAGGGAGAGGGAGAGACAGAATGTCAAGCAGACTTCATGCTGAATGTGGAGCTTGATGTGGGGCTTGATCTCAAGACCCTGAGATCATGACCTTAGCTGAAATCAAGAGTCAGACACTTAACCAGAGTCACCCAGCTGCCTCTTAATTTATTTTTATTTATTTTAAAGTAATTTCTACACCCAATCTGGGACTAGAACTCATATCAAGAGTCAGATGTTGGGGATCCCTGGGTGGCGCAGCAGTTTGGCGCCTGCCTTTGGCCCAGGGCGCGATCCTGGAGTCCCGGGATCCAGTCCCACGTCGGGCTCCCGGTGCATGGAGCCTGCTTCTCCCTCTGCCTATGTCTCTGCCTCTCTCTCTCTCTCTGTATGACTATCATAAAAAAAAAGAGTCAGATGTTCTACCAATTGAGCCAACCAGGTGCCCCTTGCTGTTTTAACTCACATTTCTCTATGAATTAAACTCCATATTGAGTGATATTGAGCACCCTTCCACATGCTTATTGACCATTTGGAAATCGTCTTTTGTGAAGAGTCTGTTTTAGATCTTTTTCCATAATGACTATGGAATTCTTTACATATTCTGCAGGAGTCCTTTTTTGTTTTTTTTTTTTATTAATATTTATTTATTTGCCAGAGTGAGAGAGTACAGCAGGGGGAGCAGCAGGTAGACGGGGGGGGGGAGAAGCAGGCTCCCCACTGAGCAGGGAACCCGATTTGGGGCTTGATCCCAGGACCCTGGGATCACAACCTGAGCTGAAGGCAGATGCTTAACCAAATGGGCTACCCAGGCGTCCCCCTCTTTTTAAATATATGTAGCACAATGTTCTTTTTCCAGTGTGTAACTTATCTTCTCATTTTCTTAAAAAAAAAAAGATTTTATTTATTCCTGAGACACAGAGAATGAGAGAGAGAGAGAGAGAGAGAGAGGGAGAGAGAGAGATTGAGGGAGAGAGGCAGAGGGAAAAGCAGGTTCCATACAGGGAGCCTGATGTGGGACTCAATCCCGGGACCCCAGATCATGCCCTGAGCCAAAGGCAGATGCTTAACCGCTGAGCCACCCAGGCGTCCCTATCTCTTCATTTTCTTAAATATCTTTAATTAATGACCAGAAGTTCTTAATTTTAATGGAGTCTAATTCATCAAACTTTGATGCTTAGAGCTTTCTGAGTCTTGGGTTTTTTTTTAATATTTTATTTTTTTCTGAAGTAGGCTCCACACCCAATGTGGGGTTCAAACTCATGACCTCCAAATCAAGAGTTGTATGCTTCACTGACTGAGCCAGCCAGGAGCTCCCTTTGTGTCTTGTTTAAGAAATCTTTGCCTAGTCCAAGGTTAAAAAGATAGTCTATGTTTTCTCTAAAGTTTCACTGTTTTACCTTCACAGTTATGCTGATGCTCCATTTCTTTTCTTTTTTATTTTTTTAAATTTATTTATTCATGAAAGACAGACAGTGAGAGAGAGAGAGAGAGACAGAGACACAGGCAGAGGGAGAAGCAGGCTCCACGTAGGGAGCCCGACGTGGGACTCGATCCCGGGTCTCCAGGATCACGCCCTGGGCTGCAGGTGGCGCTAACCCACTGAGCCACCCGGGCTGCCCTGATGCTCCATTTCAAATTAATTTTTGTGAAGGCTTCAAAGTACAGGTAAAACAGATACTCACTTACTTGCTCCAACACCATTCCACCACTTACGTAAGTTTGCATAATTCATTT